TCATTGGCATCACCTCTGGGCTTTCAGTCGTCTCTTCTGCTTTTCTTGTTCATTGTTTTATCCTTCTCTTATTGCTTCTCCTTCCTTTTTGGTGTCTGAGCAAAAAAGCTGACCTTTTAGATATAACATCAGCAACTAAGAGATGATTTCCCTTGCACAGCACAACCTGCCCATGACAGGCGGGCAGGAGTGTGGTCTGAATTACAGCCCTTATGACCCACTGTGCGCCTTCTCCGGGGGCCTACAGGCTGATCCACTGACCGGGTACACAGAGTTTTAATGATCTTTCGGAAGTCTCCTTCCACCAGGCTGTGTCTCGAGATAATGATCACACCAGGGAGTACTACGAGGTTTCCTGCAGACAACCGTGAATGCCTGAAAGGCAGAGACTGCTTGGCCAACTGGCTGGTATCATCCAGTCAACAGATACGCACTGCAGCCTGCGTGCTGAGGCAGTGTGAGAGGCACCCGGGTTTCGAGGCTGGACCGGGCCACACCCTCCATGGAGCATGGCCCGCAGTCTACTAGGGCATTTCTGCAAACCAACACACAGCTGGGTGAAGCAAATTCTTTCATACAGAAATTCAGGATGCTTTGAAACACAAAATAGAACAGCTTATTCAGATTTGGGCTTCAGAGAAGCCTCACTGAAGAGTGAGGTCTAAGTTGGGAGGGGTGTGACTTAGCCAGACTGGGGTTGGAAGAAAGAATGGCACAAGCAAAGGCCAGAAGCAAGGGGAACTTAACAGTGTGGGGCTGCTCGCTAAACATTAACCATGGCTAAGTGTGTGTATGTGAGGGAGGGAGGGAGGGAGGGCGAGGCCCTCGAGGATGACCAGACACATGGCCAGAGAGACAAGAAGGGCTGAGACACGAGACAGGGAAAGAGTTCTGATCTCATCCTGGGGTATGCATCCAAGTGAGTACAGCTAAATTTCCCAAAATGGGGTGTGGCCTACCTATACCATCATCTCCCGAGAAATCTGATAAAAATGTACAAACCTTGGTTCCACCACAAATTTACTGAATCGGACACTCTCAGTGACCAGGAAATGTCTCGTTTGAACAAGTACCCTAGATTATTTTTGAGCAAGTAAAGTTTGAGGAGCTCTGATCTAGACGACAAGTGGAGGAAGAAGGAAAGATGATTAAGAAAGAGCTACGCTTCTCTTGTCTGCAAAGAAAAACGCGAATCTCATGTTGGTAGTCAATGGAAAAGAACACACATCAAAGCACCACGGACTGGTGAAAAGTGAGCAGTGGATAAATATTTGTTCTATAAATGCTTAGGGAAATTATTTAAAGTTATAGTTTATGTCTGTATATTTCCTAGTTCTCCTTGCTATTTTACCCAGAGTTAATGCCCAGATAATTTCTTTTTTTTTTGGTACCGGGGATGGAACTCGGGTCCTTGCGCTTGCGCAGCAGGCAGCGAAACCACTGAGCTAAATCCCCGGGCCCCCAGATAATTTCTAATAGTGGCTACCTGAAAGAAAATGGACTGAATGAGAATCACTTTGATGCCACTGTGAAGGTTTAGCAGGAGTCCAAGCAGATCTTTGAAGTGTATTAACACAAACAGTGCTCTATGATAAAGAGATGGTTTCCTTTTTCAAAAGTGCTGATAAAAAAAAAAAGTGCTGAAATATCAGGCATTCTCTCAGATTAATCGAATTACTTAACATTAGACCAAAAATTAAACCACAGCTCCACTTATAACCTGTTAAATAGACAGAGATTCAGCCTCTTTTTTCCAACTAAATCTGATAGCTCTTCTTTGGGTCATAGTTGCTGAAATAGTCACTTATCAAATAGTCCTGTGCCAAGATTGCTAAACTTCTGTGGAAAAATGTACGTTCTGTGTTCTGAATTACTAGCTAACAGATGAACTCATTTTGTTTTGTTTTTTGAGATAGGATCTGTTGTCAGGCTGGCCTTGAACTCCCAGTGATCCTCTCAGAGTTGGAGGAGTCAACGGACTGTAGTCCTGGGAATTCAGTGGCAGCTCAGGAACATGCTGTTTATAAACTGGGCAGGGTATGGATGGTCCCTAGCTGAGGCAGGGAGCGTGGAAACAATTCCCTAAATCGAGAAGTACTTGACACCTACTTGTGCCAGCACCGGGCCCAGCTTTGGCTGTGAAGAGGCTGCCCACAGGAATGCACAATCTGACGAAAACCCCCTTTCAACTCACCCACGGACGCAGGTTTCTAACATACATGTATGTCCTCAAGTCTGCAGCATGCAACTGGTGGGCGCCTATCTTTAGTGTATGCTAGGACTGGAAATATAAAAAGCAAATGAATATTCACTTCTCCTGGTAAGGACTTCTGGCTGTACTTAAAATATTTTATTAAGTTTATTTTTTTGCAGAGCTGAGGACTGAACCCAGATCCTCATGCATGCTATGTAAGTTCTCTACCACTGAGCTACATTCCCAGCCCTGTATCTATAACTTTAATTCTCCTGATAGAAAATGGCCTTATTTAAATCTGTATTTTAGGCAATTATGATTTTAATTCATAAACACTTCTTGGTATTTACTGTAGAAAATAATGACTTATTATACTTAATTTGGGTAGATTTGAATATCAGATTTTCAATCCGGATGGCACTGGCCACTATAATTTTCAATGATCTGCTATTTCAGTTTGATCGTAGACTTTTCCCTGATGTTAGGTTACCTTAAGACTGAAATCATATTGCTGCTCTCAATTATAACAAGAACAAGCAGCAGGACTTTGATACGTCACTCAGGACGCAATATACATTGATTTGTCTGATGGCTCAACCCCAGGCCTTGAGCAAACCAGGCAAAAGCTCTGGGAATGAGCTATACTCCCAGCCCCAGTATACAGTATATATACTAAGCTTTAAGTATGTTTCTGAATGTACAAACAGTTCTATAGAATTCCCAAATTCATGTACTAATAGTATCTTTCATTTCCTTTAGTACACCCAAATGTGATAAATTATTCTAATCTAAACTGAGTTTGGATTCTGCCTGTATTCAAATTATTGCCAGGAAGGAATGCATGACTAATGGGTAGTTATCAGTGGGGAAATCAGAAGCTGACTATGCTACCCAACTCTTATTTTATTTGTATGTGCTACTTTTTCCTCAGATTAAATCCAACTTCCCTTTCCTGACCTCTTGTCCTTACAAAGATTTCTCTGGAACAAGTTTTTTCTGGCTACCTAAGTTTAACATTGTGAACACTACACAGAGCAAAGTACTTGAAAATTCAATGAAAAAGATCACTAAAAGATACATGAAGAAAGAAATCTTGCTTCCTTAACTTTAAGCCTAAGTACTTATGGCAGGGGTGACTTGGCAGAGATCCAGATGTCTTCAGATTCCCCCTTCTCTGAGCCAAGTCACCACTGACCCGTTTTTCTCTACTAAAACATACGTATTCAATGTGCACCAGGAATTTCTTTTTTAAAAAAGCAAACCAAGTCAGATTTTACTTTCCCATTGCAATGTTCAGCATATACATATTTCTACCAGCTTTCATCTTTTCAGATGGGTTACTTTTCAGCTGAGTGGCAGGACACCAAAATGGGGAGGAGAAATCAATGTCACAGAATATAAATAGCTGCGGCCAGAAAACAATATAGCAAAAGAGCCAATAGGAGAAAGGCTCCCCAATTGCAGCAGAAATGACTTAACTCCACATCTTCCTTCATGAAGGCCTCAGGGAAAACCAGCCTCGGGAAGCAAAGAAGCAGAAGCACCAGGACTAATATAAGATTTCCAATCTTAAGTCAAGAAGACGTACTTGCAGTGTTTTCCAGGGTTTCTAAAACACACAGGTGCATATTTTAAGCCTCAGCTGATACGGCTATCAAAAGGAAACCTTTTTCTAAGAGAACATAATGAAAACACAGGCAGATTTTGAACATATTTGTCCAAGGATCACTATAAAATTTTCCATCGCCTAGCAAGTCTAAAACTAAACCTCAAATAAAAGTAAACCTTGTAAAGTGTTCTTATCACCATTCACTGCAGCCAACCCAAAGGACCAGTACTGGTTAAAACGTTTGGGATCTATGGGTTACATTGCACGGGGTGGGGGTGGGGGCACGCAATTCATTTCTAAATGTCTTCTGGACATTTCAAGATAGTTCTTAAGTGCTGGAAATCACTAAGTTTACCAAGATTCTGTGGTCGAACCCGCGCACGCGCGCGCGCACACACACACACACAAGTATTCGGTAGGCATCAGCCGCACAAACAAAATGCAGCCACCATAAAGTTACATCAGAAAAGCGGTCTCAACCCTGAGGAATTAGTTCCAGCACACAAGAATCCACTTAAATTGCATATCCTCCGAGCAAGGCTGGGTCACAGGAACTAGGTAAAGAAACAGGGCAAAGTACACTGGGAAAGATGCAGGCAACGCCACCAGAGGCATCCTCCAAGCATTCCTTCGGAAGGAGTCAGTGTGTGATGTCCCTAAGGAGTCCCTGCTGGCCTGGGGCAACGGCACAAGCTAAAAGCCCCAAACCTAAAACAAATCCCAGCCTGTGGGCCAGGAGGCTGGGGGAGTAGCAGTGAATGGTCCCCAATCCGAGAGTACCTCAGCTGTCACTGCCCTGGGATTCGCGCGCACCCGTGCTGCCACCTGCTTTCTACTTCCTCGGGAGGACTGGTGACGCGTGGGCCCGAGAGACACCGAAGCAGGGCTAAGGGACAGAGATTTAAAGCCCAAGCCTGAGCGCCGGCCCCAGGGTCCCTGCCCCCACCGCTGGGCTACTCAGCCCACGCAGCGCGCGGCCCCCGGGGTGCAAAGCTGCGAACTTCCAGGCGGCCGACAATTGGGGGGTTGGGGAGGCGCCAGGTCGGGGACCTCGGAACGCCCAAGCCGCCGCGCGGGGACCACGGGAAGGTGGGCTGGGGGCGGGGCTGCGCGGAGCCAAGCACAGGGGGGCCCGGCCGGGGAATCCCCCCCCCCCCCGGGGCGAGGGCGGGCGCCCAGGGACGCCCTGGCCGCTACCTGCTGCTGGATCTTTCCGTCCTCGGTGACTACCCAGTGGGTGGTGGCGAAGGCCCCTCGAGTTGCTACACTCAGCAAAGCGGAGAGGCTGAGAAGCCAGCGTGGGCCAGAGCAAGGCGGCAGCTCGCACCGGCCGCGGACCCCCACTGCCGCCGCCATTTTGCCCCCCCCCCGGCCCGGCAGCTCACACCGGAAGCGGAAGCGGCTCGCCGCCCGCCCGCCATCTTGGGAAGGTCGGCGCTGAGGAGGGAGGAGGAGGAGGAGCCGAGAGAGCGTTGCCAGCGGATGGTTTGCGTCTGCGGCCTCCGTTGGGGGCGGCCCCGGGGTGCGGCTTCGGGTGTCCGGCCCAGGCGCGCCTCGCGCGGGAAGCCGCTCTTTGGTTATTGTTTTCCTATAGGAGATGCGATCTCTAAGCGTGGGAACCGGAGGGAGCTAAAAGCAGTCTGCAGGGTGGAGCTTACGTCTAAGTGAGAAGACAGTGTTTATAAAAAATACAGATTCTTGCTTTTAGATTTTAAAGGTTATTTCCAGTGGTGTACGATAGTTGGGAAACAAAAAGCACGACTTGGAACTACGCACGGGCAGAGAGGCCTTGCTTTTACCCTAAGTCTCAGCTGCGGAAGCCTGAGTGGGGAGCGACGGACGAGGGCGGCGCCATACACTAAGGCTGCAGTGCGGGCCGCGGGTAGGAAGGAGCGGAGATGACATCTTGCTCAGCCCGTTATACTGTACGCGAAATCCTGTTCTTTCAGTTTCTCATGTCTTGGAAAGCAGTGTAGTTCATGCGTGCAGATAAGTTTGGGGCGGCTGGAGTCGAGGCGCTTGACAGCCGCTGGTTCCTGACACTGGGAAGAATAGGTGCGAGCTGGAGGTCTAGGCTGAACGCGGAAAGCCTTTGGCATCACCCAGAGCTTATTAGAATCAGCATCAACGTTACCCTCGTCCACGGACAGGCTCCGAGAGCACACCGGTGGGGAGTTCTGTGGCTGCTCCGAGGAAAGGCTTCCCATCCCCAGTGGAATCTACTCAGACCTAAGGAAGTTAGCCTGGTGCATGGGCAAAATCAAGGAAGTGATTTTACCGGGCGAAATAGCCCCCGATATCAAAAGGAGCACGGTGGTGCTCTTGAAGTTACTGAGAGCAGTTCTGGGGTCCAGGTTTTAGGAACCTAGGAATTTTGGGATAGCCAGTTCTCTAGCCCAGCCTGGCATGACGTTAAAAGCCAAGCATCCTGTGGGTTGTAATCTCAACTGCTTTTCCTCTGAGATCTTCACCGGGCCAGCTGTCATCATCCAGATCTCGGCTCAGACTAATTCCTCGAGGCCTTTTCTGGCCATTCTTTTTGTAGTCTCATCACACATTAGAAGGCTTCAGTGTCCTCACAGTACTTAATGCTCTACTGTTTTCAGGCTTGCCCGACTCTGGATGATAGAATGTAAACTCCCTGACTTAGTCTCTTACACATTACTGTATCCACAGGGTCTCAACGGTGCCTTCAACTTACTATGTATTGTGAGCCTAATATATATAAAGTACTGTTCTAGATGTTGAGATTCTAACTGAACAAAACGCAAAACATCCTTGCCTCTGCTATTTTAGCTATATTCTAGCGGAGACAAATGTGAAGGAGAAAGTTGGTAAATACTACAGAAAACAATATGGTAGGGTAAGTGGAATCTAGTCTTGGGATAAGAAAAGGATTGTAGAATTAAACACGATTCTTGAGGACTTGAAAGAGATGGGGTTGGGTATGTGGATATAAGGTAGAATGGGGTGTAGGTAGTAGAAAGACTCTAAGGCAAGAGTGTCTTGGCTGGCTTGGGTGATGTCAAATGGCAGAGGAAGAGTGATCAAGGGGAGGAATAAAATAGGGAACCACTGAACAACTTCAGGTAGAGGAGTGGATGTGTCTCTGTGGCTGAAGTTTAGAGCTGTTGTATGGAGTTCAGTGTTAATAGCTGGGAGATCAAGTAGATTATGAAATGCTGGGCAAGAAATGATAGAGATAGTTTGGCAGTTCTTAGCATAGAGATGGTATTTAAATAGGATTGGGAATTTAGTTATCTTGTCCTGATCCACTTAAACTTTGGCTTCTGAACATTTCTAATAATCTTTAGTACTTCAGGAAGATTTCTTAAAAAAAGGCTGGTAGTAAGTTCCACCTTGCTTTAACTATTATTCAAGGATGGAAATGATTTATTTCATGAAGATTTGGTAAGTATGTGATGTTTTGCTTTGATAAAAAGAACCAAATACTTTTTTTTCCCAGAAGACTGTATTAGCTCATAAAACCGACAATTTATAAAAATAAACCCAATACAGTTAATTTACAAGACTGTATAAAGAATGAACTCCTTGAAGGCTGAGCAGTGTCTTGTTATATATTTTCAAGGTCTAATACAATTCTTGGAACATGAGAGGCAATCAATAAATGTTAATAAATATTCAACAACCTGAAGTTATAACACATCAAGATGCAAAACTACAAAAGGAAATTTATTTCAAAAGCATAAAGGAACATTTACATTTAAAGTGATAAACAGGTGTCTTGCAAAAAGAAAGGAAATCCATGGCGTGAAGTTTTTCATTTTCATTTTTGAAGCCAAACAAAAAACAAACACTCTATTGCCTTAGGAAAGGGGAGGGGAACAAAAAGTGTTAAGGGAAGGAACAGTGTCAAATCAGTATCAAACTTTTGTTCGGCTTTAGGTTTACAAATATCCTTAAAAAGAAAAAATTACACTTAATGTTCAGATTTATATAGCTGGAGCTCCAACATGTGTTTTGTACTTGAAATGGCTTTAAGTCATTGGCTGATGTGTCTCAGGTCCAGACCAGCTAGCAGAAGTTTTCAAATGTTCATTCCATGTTCCTATGTCTGTTCAGGTTCCAAGGGAGCTTAGGTGCAGCTCAGTCTTTTGGAATGTTTAGAGATTATTGCCATCACTCCATAGTCAAGCTGACCAATTTCTTATGCTCACTTGTATCATTCTAGCCTTTAAGAAATATTTTCCTTGGGGCTGGGGATTTAGCTCAGTGGTTCCGTTGCTTGCCTTGCAAGCACAAGGACCTGAGTTCGATCCCTGGTACCAGGAAAAAAAAAAAAAAAAGAAATATTTTCCTCATAGACATGTGGGTTTTGTGTTTTTTCCCAGTGTAGAAGTAATGGTAATGGAGACACCTGCATTGGAATCACAAACTATTCCTCAAAAAATACATCAAACTACTAGAAATGTCATTTGGGCATCTGATTTTAATAGGAAATTTGGGGAGAGAACGTTAACTATGGGACAAAAATAAATGAAATAAATGCAGAACAATGGGTCTGTGCTACTAAAAATGCCCATGACATTAGACACTCCACAAACCTCCTATCTGTCGTTTTAACCTAAGGATTCTATTTGCTAACTTATACAATAATTTGGTTAATAACCTGAGAAGTTAAAAGTCTTAAAAGTGGCAAAAGCAAACAGAGAGCCTCCTTTACTTATTGGTATGATGTTATCAGGTCACTTTTCCTGGGTAGCCCTGGTTATTAAATCTTCAAATCCTAAATTATACTATCTCATCCTGTAGAAACCTATATATACATCAGATTTGGCTGTATTTTACCAACAGGGATCTCCAAATTTATCAAAATACAGCCATGGTTTTAGTTTTAAATAAGAATAATCATGTAAGTGCAACTGACTCAAAACTCTCTACGGGGAGCAAAAACTTAGATAACAAGTCAGTAATGTACTCAGCCTCAAAAGGATAATCACCGTGTCAAAGACTACCCGTTCCTGGAATTTAAAATATTGATGTTTTTCACAGCATGCTCATATATATATGTGTGTACACACACACATACATACATACAGATATATGCTTATTATACATACACATTTCTATTCAAATAGTAAGATCCCATATTCAAAAGCTGTATCCCAATATATGGAAAAGAGTAAAGGAAGCAGTGCAAAGCAATTTACTTTCTCCTAAAAATGTACTGTCACTTCTACATTTTCAGAAAATTGGTATTCTATTTTTATGACACTAGTAGGGAATGCTGCACAACTGCCTAGCAGCTTTATTAAAATAACAAGGAAAATAAAATGTTGAGATTAACCATTACTCTTCTCCATATATTGGGTAAAAAAACTAAGATGGGAGAAGAAAAATCAGTAACCTTTCAAAACTGATGATCTTTACCAGATTATCAGAACTAGACTGAATTTCATTACATTTTTAGATTCAAACTGCTCTCAATAACAAACTGCCAAGATGTTTTAAAAGTAAAAGATCTACAATATGAAGTCTGACTAATGATACTGCAAAAACAAGATTGAGACAAAGCATCCAAAAATATTGTGGTTTTTACCTCGGACACACCATGGTCTGTTACAAAAGTAGATCATACATACAAAGGTATAAAGAACATTAAGTTTTCAACTGAAGGCAGCAGTCCTTTTAAAGGGACATCCCCGGCAATCCAATGAGTAGTAGAATTTATGTTTATTAAGCTCATGACAGTCCTTGAAGGATGTGATGTCTTATTCAGTAGAGTCTTCCTCGACTACGATTTCCTCGTGTTCCCCAACCTCGGCCACCTCTACTTCCCCTGAAGGCTCCTCTCTGCTCTACGAAAAAGCGAACAACGGTTTAGGTCTTGCTCAGGATTTCATGTATGGCAAACAAAAGAAATACAGCTTTTAGCTCTGAAAGTAGCAGTAGACCCTATAAAAGCAAAACTGGCATTCTACTAATCCATCTACAAATTAATTCTGTACATAAAACCAAGCCAACATTTATAGTGAAGCATACATAGCAAGGAATATTGTAAGGTGCTAAATATGTACATTCACAGTACAGGCTCAATGAAGCACATTCCATCAACAAAGTGGCTTCAGGTGACAATGTTGGAACTACTTTATTTTGGTGCCTGTCACTACCAAAGAAATAAACTATATAAATTTCTGTACTTAGTATGCAATTAATAAAGCCACTGATCTTTAAAAGTTAGTGTCATAGATGAGAAATATGTTAAACTACCAATGATCAATTCTGAAAAGGAGTGAAAAATGTACCCATCAAATGCAACCAATAGGCAATTTCTTTTGTTTTGATTACAACAGTTAAAGTACTGGGACTTACATAAATGTAGATATAAATGAAGTTTTTTTCACTTTCTCAGCCATGTGAATTTCCT